GGAGAATCTGAACCGTTGATGAGAGATCGAACGGCTGGATTTGAAGATGAGAAGTGGAGGGAATGATGTAAGAGTAGGAATTTGTGCTTGATTCGTAATGGAGTTGAGATTTGAGGATAGGATTGGAATTTTGAAGTTTGTGAAGGGCATTTTGGAGAAGTGAAATGTCTGGTGGTTTTGATAAGAGTAGAGCTAAGACTGTTATACCTGTGCCACCGGGAACCGCCTTGCACCAGCTGTGCTCGGTGCTACCAGCCAGCCGGATTTTCAACTCAGACGGCGGAGCTGCGGCGGCGCTTCCTTGTTCAGCCATGACTGAGAGATTAGCTAAATGGGAGTGAAAGGTACTATAAAGTGGACAAATGAAGCCTAACCACTCATTTATACTTTTTTTTTTACTGATAAAATCAATGATTAGTATTTTTTACAAGATTAAATTATCTCGAGATTATAATTTACAAACTCATTTATCTATCGGAGCGATGAGATATAATAATGCCAAGTCTGATGGGATATTTTAAAATTTTAACATAATATAAAATTTATTTTAAAATATCTCATTTTATTTTGCGTATCGAATGTTAATGGGTAAGAAAGAAGAAAGGTTGACAACTATAAACTTTGGACTCATTTACCAACCAAAGCGATGGGATATGATAATGTCAAATTTGATGAGATTTTTGAAAAAAATGATAAAGATAAATGTATATTGTCAATTAACGGTTAACACTATGAATTTAGTTTTAAAATATCTTACTTTATTTTACGTAATATTTATTTGGTCACTAATGATTTGAAAAATGAGGTTCTAGTTGGGATTGACGACGTAGGTCATCAAGTGTCCTTCTATGCTTTTAATGGGGTCATAGTTACTTATATTTAGTTTATGTTAGTTTTTTAAGATATATATATATATTTGCATGATTTTGTTTTGAAGTTAACAAGTGCATATGCACCCTCACTGCCTCACATATACACGTGGATCCGCCTATGTTATAGGATACTTGAGCGATCTTAAGTAGCAAATTATAAGATATAAAATATTTTCTTCTTTGTATGAAAAATACTTAATTTTAGTAAACGTAGTCATTAAGTCATATCTTGATTAATACTTTCTTGTTTAATTTATTTTACACTATTGTACAATAATAGGATGACTATCTATTCTGGTGGACATTTATATTTTCTTACTTTATCACCTTTTAAATAATTTTAAAAAAAGAGAGGAGAAATTTGTGTTCTACTTTTTACTTGTGATTTACTCGATAACTATAGGGTATGAGTTAGGTTATGTATATACATCTCGACTAATTTCACGAGATATTCACGAGCCAATGAACTAATTTAGTAAATTTTAATTAATTTTTGTGATACCTCATACATGTAGAGAGTAACTTTATTCATTATGTTTTAATAGATGAAAAATTACAAATATATCAAGTAAAACTATCCATCAATATTTGAATCGATAGAAAAATATCAACTACGTGTGATTTTGACAGATGACATACGTCAAAAAAATATAAGAGTATAAGAAAGAAAGAAAGGTTGACAAATTAAAGAAAGTGTAAACTCAGCTCTTTAGTCTTATCTTGATTAATATCTATTTTGATCGACTTTTCTATTTTCTTAATTCATCACCTTTGAAATAATAACAATATTAAAGGGACAAATAGAGCTAATAATATTTTGAGAGCGTTGTAATAATAATTCAAAGTTGGAATAGAAATCTTAATTTGTTTAGAATTTGTTATTTTAGGTATTTATTTAATTATGTCTATTTGTCCTAGTTCATGTAGGAATAGATTTTCTAATCGTAGTTTAATTTGGTTACTTACTATTACAAATAGGGGTATTGCTGAATATTTTCTATATATAGAATAGAGAGAAGTTGAAGTCACATTCAACAACTTTTGAGTTTATAAATAACACTCCGGCGATTGTGATTGAGCTCTCCGGTGATCGATCCTTTTCTCCGGTGGACGTAAAATACGTGGTTCTAAGATGGCGATGAGCGATGTGAAGATTATTGAGTTTGAGGAAGGATGGAATTTTATGCAAAAGGGAATCACTAAATTGAAGAAAATTTTAGAAGGAGAAGAGCTTTCTTTCGACTCTGATGAGTATGTGATGCTCTATACAACTATATTTAACATGTGCACACAGAATAAGCCGCCGCCAAATAATAATGATTACTCACAACACTTGTATGATAAGTACAGGCAAGTAATTGTAGACTATATCAATTATACAGTTATGCCCTCTTTACGAGAGAGGCACGACGAGTTCATATTGAGGGAGATTGTGAAAAGATGGGCGAATCACAAAGTTATGATTAGGTGGCTCTCACGCTTCTTCAATTATCTGGAACGATTTTTTACTGCTCGAAGATCTCTACTTGGACTTGCTGAAGTTGGTCTGATGTGCTTTCGTGATCTGGTTTATGAGGAGTTGAAGGGTAAAGCTAGAGATGCAGTTATTGTGTTGATTGAACAAGAACGCGAGGGTGAGCAGATTGACAGAGGTTTATTGAAGAATGTGCTTGATATATTCGTTGGAATTGGAATGGGGAATATGGAGTATTACGAGAATGATTTTGAAGATGCAATGCTTAAACATACTGCAGCTTATTATTCTCGAAAAGCTTCAAGTTGGATTGTGGAAGATTCGTGTCCAGATTATATGTTGAAGGCAGAGGACTGCTTGAAAAAAGAGAAAGATAGAGTGTCTCATTATCTCCATGTTGTTAGTGAGACGAAACTTTTAGAGAAAGTGCAAAACGAATTGTTGGTTGTATATACGAATGAGTTACTTGAGAAGGAGCATTCTGGATGTCGAGTATTGCTTAGAGATGATAAGGTAGAAGATTTATCTCGAATGTATAGGCTATTCCACAGAATCAACAAGGGATTGGAACCTGTTTCAAATATGTTTAAGCAGCACGTTGTTGCTGAAGGTATGGTCTTAGTGCAGCAGGCTGAAGATACGACAAATAGCAAGTCTGAAACTCCATTCTTTGTTAGAAAGTTGATTGAGCTTTACGATAAGTATATGGCTTATGTTACAGACTGTTTTGCTAATAACTCTCTGTTTCATAAGGCTCTCAAGGTGGCATTTGAGGTGTTTTGTAACAAGATTGTAGCTGGTTGTTCAAGTGCAGAGCTTCTTGCTTCTTATTGTGATAATATTCTTAAAAAAGGCGGAAGTGAAAAACTCTGTGACGATGCTATTGAGGAGACGTTGGATAAGGTGGTCAAGCTTCTCGCATACATTAATGACAAAGACCTTTTCGCGGAGTTCTGCAGGAAGAAGCTTTCTCGTCGATTGCTCTTTGATAAAAGTGCGAATGATGAACACGAAAGGCTTATCTTAACAAAGCTAAAGCAACAGTGTGGTGGACAGTTTACATCAAAGATGGAGGGAATGCTGACAGACTTGACTTTGGCTAAGGAAAATCAGAACAATTTTCAAGAATATCTCACCAACAACCCGAGTACGAGTCCTGGAATTGATTTCTCTGTCACAGTTCTTACAAGTGGATTCTGGCCTAGTTATAAATCTTGTGATTTGAGTCTTCCTGTGGAAATGGCTAAGTGTGTACAAGTGTTCAACGAATTCTATCAGACAAAAACGAAACACAGGAAATTGACATGGATTTATTCATTGGGTACGTGTAACGTCAATGGGAAGTTTGATTCAAAAACCATTGAATTGATTCTGGGAACTTATCAGGCTGCTGTTCTGTTATTGTTTAATTCGTCAGACAGATTGAGTTACTCAGAAATCAAAAGTCAGTTAAATTTGGCTGACGACGACTTGATCAGATTGCTTCAATCCCTTTCATGTGCCAAGTATAAAATTCTGATTAAGGAGCCTAGCAATACAGATGTTTCGTCATCTGATCATTTTGAATTCAACTCTAAGTTCACTGACAGGATGAGACGGATTAGGGTCCCATTACCTCCTGTGGATGAAAGGAAAAAGGTGGTCGAGGATGTAGGCAAAGATAGACGCTATGCAATTGATGCTTGTATTGTGCGTATTATGAAGAGTCGGAAAGTTCTTCCTCATCAACAACTAGTAGCGGAGTGTGTTGAGTATTTGAGCTCAATGTTTAAGCCTGACTTAAAAGCAATCAAAAAACAAATGGAAGATCTCATCACTAGAGATTACTTGGAAAGAGACCAAGAGAACCCAAATTTGTTCAAGTATTTAGCCTAAACCAGTAATCTAGTTATTTAGGATTTGTTATTTTTGGTTTTTATTTAATTACTAGTTTTGAGAATGTGCGTTGCACGTTTGTCCTCTACTACTGTATAAGTATGTAACATTAATTAAGATAAAATATCATCTGATGATATGTGATATATCGAGGAACTCTTGCTCTAAATTTGAAAAGTGCATGTAAACATTACTAACAAAACCTCCGATATTCAACATCTTATAACCTTCATTTTATAGCGTTGTTCTTATGCACGCATAAGAAAATAATTGTTCGATACACAAAATACAAGGCCTAAGCATTATCTGATATTATTGAAGGATTATCATACACAAAAAAAAAATTGATTGAACATATACAATACTATGATAAAAAAAATGATTCTCGATAGGAAGATGGTAGCTAGGTATGATCTAAAACATGAAAAATTAAGCTCTAACAAAATAATGGGTAAAAAATTAAATGGAAGAAAGACAAATGTAACACTTTTCCGGATGATTAAATTACATAACATAATTAAGTGAAATGACAAAGAAAGGAAGAAGAGAGTTTCCATCTCATCACTTACCCAAAGTATGTAAATCAGTGAAAATGCTGCTTTGAATTCCTCCGACAATTGCCTAAAAACTAATTATTAAAAGAGAAGTTTCTCAAAACATGAAAATGTATTAGTTACTAACTATGCTTGCTAAAAGGCCAACTTTGTGAATAGATAGCTTTCAACCTCCATGAAGATTTTCAACATCCATTTTCATCATTGCAAGCTCCGTATGAAGTTTTAGAATTTGTATAGATTTCTCTCCTGAAAAAAA